ATTCCAAACCCGCGCTTTCCTCGCGGGAGGTGTCACAATTTACGCAGGAGTGGCGCTCTCGGGTGGGACGTCCTCGCAATCCATTCAGACAACGCCCTCGACATTCATGAGGCTGTGCCTAGCCCCCTTTGCAGTACAGAAACATTCCCCCCCCCGAAAGGTTTCGGATATGCTTAGCACATGTTTGGAACGATCGTTTTTTTCGGATCGGGTTTAAGGCCCGAATGATGTTTCAGCGTTTGACGTTGCCGCAACGGTTCTGGCTCTTGCGCCCTGGAGTGAAAAGAGATCCTCTCGAGGCCCTGCGGGGCCCAGCATCGATCATGTGATACTAGCGCGATTCCGCGGATGGTAGCGGAACGTGGTTTTTGGTGTTTAAAAAAGCATGCGAGACTTACCCGGTTCTTATGATCAACTTACCCAAATGCGTGTTTTTGGAAGGTGTTTTGGGAAATGTTCAGGGTTCTGATGGTGAAACGGTTACAGTGATTTGCGGTGATGAAATCGAAGGAAGGGCGTTCTGGCACGAATCAGGACCACCAAGACGCAATTGTCAAATTGATCCGTTGCGTTGGAGTCCCGAGAACAATGTTTTGGCACGCTTCATGGTCTATGAAATGTTGCCTTCCGACGAGGCAGTTCCCTCAGCGGAACTGAGCCCTGTATAGGGGCCTATGGCGAGGGAGCTTGTAGGGAGGCTTTATTCCAACATCATTGATCACTCTTGGGTTTGCACTGATCCTTCTCATCCATTGTACACGGACAGAACACCTAGGCGACACAACCCGAAGGGAGGTGCTCAAGGTGCCTGCATGAATTCACATGCAGTCGGACCTCGCAACATGAACGGCGGCACAGACCCGCCCCAGGCGTCACATTTCCTCCTCCCTTTCCTCCTCCGCTCCCGCTCCTCCTCCACTTCGCCTCGGCTCAGCGAAGATCCCGACGCGGGCCGCCTGGGCCCCGCCGGGCGGCTCGCCCCCCCCCCCCCTGCGCGGCGCGGGGCCCCGCCGGGCGGCCCGCCCCCCCCCCCCCTGCGCGGCGCGGGGGCCCCTCGCGAGGGGCGCCAAGGGGAGGGGCATCGGCCCGAGCGGAGGGGGGGGGGGGGGGGGGGGGGGGGGCGAAACGTGCGGGGGGGTTCCACCAGAGAGCTCTTCCTGTTATCCCCTGTCGGGCGGGTGGTACAGTCAACCCGCATAGTAAGGGTGGGCAACCTTCCCAAGGATACCCTTGCATCCTTGCCTCCTCGGTCCATCCTTCGCCGTTTTCGCTGGCCGCCTCCCGCTCGAAAAGCTTGGAAATGGGCGTCCAAGGCCCTGGCATCCTTATCGCGCATCCTTACTCTACGGGCCGACTGTAGTGGGTCGGGGCTCAAGAGACGGGGGTCAATGCAAACGGGGTTCAGCCAGATCGCCGGATCTTGCAGGACCCTGCAGGGCCAGGGTCGCATTGACCCAGGCTTGGGTGCAGGATCCTGCAGGATCTTGCAAGACCTTGCAGGATCCTGCGAGGCCTGACTAACCCGAGTCAGAAGATCCATGAATGGGGGGCGACCTACATGGGCATTGAAGAACAAAAAGGAGGGCGCGCCACTGGATCTCCCCAAGGGGGGTGGGAGGTTGGGAACCTCCCCCCCCCCTTTCCCCGATCCGTCGTCGGGGGGTCGTCGTCCCTTTCCGGTCGTCGGGGACCCCCCCCCCTCCCCCCCCCCCTCCTTCCCTTTCCCGGTCCGTCGTCGGGGACCCCACCCCTCCCTCCCCCCTTTCAAAAAGGGGATGGGTCCGGACCCCTACACCTCCTCTCCCCCCTTTGGCCGCCAAATTCGATGCCCCTCCCCCTGCCCCTCCGTTCGCCACGGCGCCCCCTGGCCCCGGAACCCGACCCCTACCACCCCTCACACTACCACCCCGACCACCCGTAATCCTAATCCCAAACCTTAGCCCTAGCCCCAAACAGCATTCAGAACTCATTATTCACAACTCACTACCCACTACTCATTCGCTACTCACTTCTCACTATTCACTGCTCACAACTCACGACTCAGTATTCACTACTCACTATTCAGTACCCACTACTCACGACTCCCAATTCACCACTCACTACTCAATATTCACTACCGACTAAATCAGTACTCAGTACACTAAACCCTACCCAGTACTCAGTACTCGTTAATCACCACTCACTAACCACTATCCACTACTCACTACGGAGTCCTCACTGTCCACGACCCACAACTCACTACTCACTATCCGCTACTCGCTACTCCCTACTCCTTACACAGTACTCAATGCTCACTTCTCACTACCCACTGCTCGCTACTCCCCAGTCGCTACCCGATACGCAATGTTCACTACCCAATACGCATTACTCACTACCCACGACCCACTACTCCCTGTTCACTAGTCACAAGTCACTACCCACTGCTCACTCTCTCTACCCGCCAGTCCTTACGCACTACCCGCTACTCACCATTTACTTTTTGCTTTTCACTACTCCCTACTCCCCCACTCACTACTCACTACTCACTACTCGGTACTACTCGCTAGTCCCTACTCACTACTGACTACTGACTACTCCCTCCTCGCTACTCACTTATCACACTGCCCTACTCGCTACGCGCTACTCGCTATTCCCCACTCGCTACTCACTACTGCCTACCCACTGCCCACTACTTACTACTCACTATTCACTGCGCACTACCCACTACTCACTCCTCACTACTGGCTACTATCTACTTATTACTCACGGTTCACTGTTCACTATTCACTCTCACTACCCATTACCCACAATCCCGAGGCCAGACCCCCCCCCTTTGCGGGAGAGGCCCCTCTCCCCGGCCCCCTGTTCGGCGCAATGGGGGGGAGGGGGGGGGGGTCGACGACCGCCCCCCCTTTGCAGGGCCAAGGGGAGGAGGGGGGGGGGGGGAGGGGGGGGGGAGGGGGGGTCGGAACCCCCTCCCACCCCTTAAGGGGGGGAGGGGTGTTGGGGAGTCGAAAATTCCACACCCCCTTTGAATGGGGGGGAGGGTGGGGGGGGGGTTCTGCGAGCACCCCCCCCTTTTCAATTACAGGGTGTTCCAGTGGCGCGCTTTCGAAGAAAAGGGCCCTGACGGGGCCCCCCAGGGATTTTCCTCCACCCCGGATTTTTTTAGGGCAGCCCCCATTATTACCCGCAAGACCTCTGGCGATCACGGGCGTGATTGGGGGGGGAGGGGGAGGGGGAGGGGAAGAGAGCCCCTGCTCGCGTCACGATTCGCGCTGGCGCAGTCTGGGCATTTTTCGGCACGTTCGAGTCCCAGGCGGAGCTGGCGCGAACCGTGATGTGAGCAGGAGGAGGGGGAGGAGGAGGAGGAGGAGGAGGAGGAGGAGGAGGAGGAGGAGGAGGAGGAGGAGGAGGAGGAGGAGGAGGAAGGAAGAGCAGGGGGAGGGGGAGGTGGCTGGGGGCTGGGCCTGTCACGGGCGATATCGCGGATAGTGCAAAGCGGGCTCGAGAGATCGACAAGCTCACCTCTCTTCTTGTGCGGAGGACGGGCGGAGGACTCCAGCGGAGTGCCAGCAGGCGGAAGTCACGCCAGGGGGGGGGGGGGGTCGTGTCGGCGGAAGGCGGAGGGCCGGAGGAAGCTTGCGGTCTCGGAGGGAGGAGAGGCGACACCAACACGACCACGGGGCCGACCTCCAGCGAGGAAGTCCACGATGCTTCCCCCAGGTGGAGGCCGGGGATGTCTTGAGCGAGAGGGGGGGGGACACACCAGCAGCTGGGAGTCCCCCCTTGCCTCCTCGCATCTCCTCGCCCTGGTGGTGTTGGTGTCGCCCTTGCTTTGTCCTACGGTCAGGGGCAATGTGTGGGAGGGTGGTCGCGAGGCTCAGTGGACAAGATCCAGGGTGATTTCAATTTGCTGCGCCTCGATCAGGGTACTCTGGGGGCGCCGGGATCGTCCCGAGCAGCCGCCAGAGAGCTGAGCTGTTATGTCCCGAAAGCCAGGGGGCAACGTTGGGGCGGACGCGGTGCGCCGAATCGCACACTCAGTATCGCTAGGGGCCCGACAGCTCACCCTGGCCAGCAACGTGTGGATTGGCTGTCGGGTGTCTTTTTACGCTGTGTCGCCGATTCCAGGAGGATGCGCTTCCCCCGAGCTGGTCCCACGAGGTGCAAACCTGTTTGTGGTCGGGGTTTCCGGGGCGGGCCATGTCGGTCCCGGGTCGTCGCCTCCAGGCTCGAGGATCTAGGCCTCTGGAAATCCCAAGGGACCTCCAGAGATCCCTTCTGGAGGGCCACCTCTGGAGGCCAAAAAGGGGGGGGGAGGGCCGGGGGGGGGGGGGGGCCGTTGCCGATCGGGGCTTGGGGACCCCGCGGTGTGAGGGCACGCGCGGGTTTCGTTGTGGGGCGGGGGCATCGGCGACGTGTCGCCGTTTGCCGTTTCCAGGCCCACGCGAACCCTCACGGGCCAGTCCCTCTTCCTCCTCTGGACCTGCCGCTTGCTCCAGGCCGACGTTCACCCCTCCGAGCCAGTCCCTCCTCGCCCCCTCCCCCCCCTCTGAGCGCACGCGGGAGGCGGGGGAAAATGGAGGGGAGGGGAGGGGGGAGCACGAGGCGGGAGGGTCGTGGAAGCCCGAACATGGATTACTGCGCGTGTATTCGGGTCTCGCTTCCTCATATTACTTGCGCGCTCCATCGCCAAGTCAGGCGGCGTAGGCTTCACGTTGCGGGGGGTAATTTTCTGCAATCAGTGGATCTGGCGTCCGCGCGCAAGTCCCACTGACCCCGAACCCATCTTAGCGTGTGCCCCAGA